GGTGGTGGCTGGACCCTGGTGGCCAGCGTGCATGAGAACAACATGGCTGGGAAGTGCACGGTGGGCGATCGCTGGTCCAGTCAGCAGGGCAACAGAGAGGACTACCCAGAGGGGGACAACAACTGGGCCAATTACAACACCTTTGGGTCTGCAGAGGCGGCCACAAGTGACGACTACAAGGTTGGTGCCACTTCCCCACCACTGGGAAAGGGTGAGGGCTTGAATGTGGCTGGGCACAGGTGCAGGAGGGAGGGTGGGATGGTGGGGATGTGGAAACAGGGCTGTAGAAGGAGAAAGATAGACTCACATGTCTTGACACAAATTCCTCCCTGCAGGGCAGTTAGGGACCTAAGTGGTAGGGAGTCAGCATCAACTGGAAGCTCAGCAGCCATCTGCTCCTATCAGCCCCAGAACTGTCACCTCAGCTGAGGCTGCGTGCATAGGCCTTTGCCTTGTGGTGTTCTTGGTGTCATCAGGCTCAGTATCTGTGGCTTTGCAGAACCCTGGCTACTATGACATCCAGGCCAAGGACCTGGGCATCTGGCATGTGCCCAACAATTCTCCCCTGAAACAATGGAGGACCAGCTCCCTGCTGAGGTACCGCACCAAAACTGGCTTCTTCGAGGGACTAGGACACAATCTGTTTGGCCTCTACCAGGTACACAGGGCTGCCGGCCAGGGCTGGTTTTCATGGGAGTGCAGAGAAGCAAGTGTGTGAGGTGGGCAGGAACTGTTTCTCACTGGGCGTGTCTGCCATGTCCTCCTTATCTCGATTTGCTGATGGCTTCTGTCCTGCTTCTCTCTGGAGCTCTGAGCCAGGATAGAGAAAGGACCTGGGGAAGAACACAGTGGGGGCTGGAGGTCAGAGGAGTGAGACACAGAGATGGAGAATGAGTATGAACCGGGGCTGGCAGTCAGAGGAGTGAGCTACAGAGACAGAGAATGAGTATGAACTGGGGCTGGAGGTCAGAGGAGTGAGACACAGACACGGAGAATGAGTATGAACTGGGGCTGG